TTTTTTTTTTTTTTTTTACCATTCTCTCAAAGATGAGGTCCAGCAAGGCACAGAGAATGACCAAGCAGCTCTGGGCTGGGAAAGGGCAGAGCCAGGTCTCTGGTTTCCCAACTAGAGCCCTTCCTCTGTAAGCCTTGAGCTCCTGACGCACCCATGTGCCCACCTGGCTCCCTGCTCCCAGGACCCCAGCAGGGGGAGGGGGTGCATGGTCAAGATCCCAGGCCACAGGTTTACCTGTTCCTCCAGGGCAGGGTCCCTGGCTGCTCTGGAAGGAAGGCAGGATGTGGTAACCTCTTAACTGTACTCCTGAACTTGAACTTGGGGTGGGGCAGGCCCCTCTTTTGATCTGCCATTTTTACATGAGCACCCTAAGACAACTCACTGAACCTCTCCGAGTGAGTCCAGGACTTTCCATCTGTCACGGGAAGAAAAACATCAGCCTCGCTGTCATAACGAAATGATACCAAGTATGTAAAACTGTTTTAAGGCACAAAACAGTACAAAAACAATAACTACTGTATGCTTTTAAACAGTATAATGTATCTAAAAACTCACCAGAAGTTTGTTCTGAATGCTCTACATAAATAAAAAAAACAAATTATTTTCAAAAAATGGCTAGGGAATTCAAAAATTGTGCCCCTGTCTCAAACTGACTCCATTCCCCCACTGTCTAAATATTAAAATCAGAAAATTGAGTAATATATTGGGATTTTTATTTATTGTTTAGAGATGGTCTCAACACCCAAGATCTCCTGGGATTGTCACAGCACAAACCTGACCTGTGAGGTAATAAAAGGAACTGACCCTGAATTAATTCTGTATCAAAATGGGAAACGGCTCACTCAAGGTCGTCTGAAGGTCATTAGATATCAGTTGACCAACCTGAATGCAGCGTTCAAGTGCACGGCAAGCAACAAAGTCAGTGAGGAGTCCACCGTGGCAGCCATCAGCTGCTCAGGTACGTGGGGGCATCGGGCAGGGTGTCCCAAATTCACAAACACAGTCTGCCAGGCCTGTGGGCACAGTGGCAGGTGCCACTTCTGCCCAGGGCACAGGTGTCTGGGGTGGGGGACAGCTTTGGCTCAGGATGGGAAGTGACAGGTGTACCTCTCCCTCTTAGAAGCCTTCAAGGGAAGCCCTCAGGAAGGGGTGTTCCATGGGACCCCCCTCAGGAGACTTCCGGGAAGTGTGTGATTTGACCTCAGAGTCGAAATCATCCTCTTCCAGGAAAAAGAATGGCTGTATTGAAGAGGGAGAAGGAGAGGCGGAGATCATGGCATTGCAAACCCCCGTTTCCCTGGGGGGCAGACTGACTTGCCCAAGACCTCTCTGCTCGTTAGTGACTGTGACGGTCAAGACCATCAGATGGGTGGGTTCTCGGGCCTAGTTCCAGGATTGCTTGCATGGGCTGTTGGGCTGCCTGGAAACAGGGCTTTCTAAGCTTCCTTTGGAGCCTTCTGAGAGACAGCAAGAGTGAGTGACGGAAACAAAAGCCACAGTCCTTTTATGACTTCATCTCCTTTTTGATAGCCCCTCCCTTCTGCTGGACTTTATGCCTCAGCAGTAAGTGCAGCCCACACTCAGAGGGGACGGCGCAGAGGCAGAAATGCCAGGAGGCAGGGGTCACTGGAGGCCGACGATCAATCAGAGGGTCAGCCAACCACAAGCTTAGACCGGTGTCACTCTGCCCCGTCATGTGGGCCACTATCAGCCATTCTGTCCCATCCTCCACTTCAGGAGGGCCTTGGTTGGAGATGCTAGATTTAATAAGTAAAAAATATGGCGTACTTCCAAATGTGGCATAAAAGTCATTCATTGTTTATTTGAAATTCAGATATAACTGACCTGTGTTCTGTCTGGCAATCCCACCCTTCACACTTGTTTTAACTAGATCCCACCATTAAGGAGGGCGCAAGGCAGCCACACGCATGTCCCTTGTAGAAGGTGCAGAGCAGGAGCTGGTCCAGGAAATGGCCACCCAGGAGATGGGAGGCACACCTCGGATGGAAGAGAAGGAATGGGCTGCCCTTAAAGACCCTAAAAGGGATTTGGACATTTCATTCTAAAAGGCCAAGACTGAGAGGATCAGTGGCAGATGCTAACCATTTAGCTTAAGTAAGGTCTACTTAAGACCCTGGGAGGAATTAGCACATTCGACAAGAAATACTCCATCCACAAACTCATGCACAGAGGAGGTGTAGGAGGGAGGAGTGGGTGCATCTAGAGAACCCGAGAACCTGGGTGCTTTTTTGTTGTTGTTGTTGTTTAATTTTTTAAAACGTGTTCTTTTGAGTTACTCACGACAGTAGAGTGCATTATGCCATGGCATACATACATGGAGTCTAACTTCCCATTCTTGTGGTTGGACACGATGTGGAACTACCCTGATCTTGTACTCACATATGAACATAAGAAGGTCACGTCCGATTCATTCTACGGCGGGGACCCGTTTTTAAATGACAAACCAAAGCTGCCTCTAGGGCAAGGTGGAATGTCCCTACAGCGAGCACTACCAGGTGTCGGGGGACCATACTGGACAGACCTGAGCACAGAACTGTGGGAGGCACCATCTGCATTCCCAAGTGTACCTCCTGCCCACAGACTCTAAGGGAAAATGGCCGATGTCTTTGTGGCCCACACAGGTGTCCCCAGCTCACCCCAGGCCTGCCCTTCCCCACCTGGGTCAATCTTGAGCTGTCTTCAGCTTAGCAGGAGACAGAGACCCCAGATTCTTTCCTGGCCCAGTTTCAATGGCAGAGGATTCTGGCTGCTTATCTAGTGGACGCTCCTTCCCAGGCAGAGCTCAGAGAGGTTGTGTGATTGGCAGGCAGAGAGAATGGGTGAGAGAGAGACTGCAGGAAGGACAGCCACGGATGAATAAACCAGCACAGTTTGAAGCCCTGCTCAGTTTGGTGTCTGAGCCTCTGGCGGGATCTCTGGGGCCCGTCCTGGGTCCGTGTGTAACAGCATCTTCCTAGGATCTTTTGGCTGCAGAAGTGTTTTTGTGATGCTGGGCTTAGCTCCAGTTTGTTCTGCCAGAGTCCCAGTCCCTGACCCCCCAACCCCAGCTGCTCCTCTTTAACTGCTATGGACTCACCAAGGGCAGATGGCCCAGCAGCCGTCCTTGGGAAGCTGCTACGAAAAACACTAGTGCAGAGAGCAACTAGTAAAAGCAAGACCTCACACTTGTGTGTTGTTTTACAGTTTATAAAGCACTTTTCCATCCATTATCTGATTGACTTCCAACAGCCACCCTGTGATGTAGGTCTCATTGTTTCCATTTTACAAAGAAGGAAGGAGGCTCCGAGAGGTGGAGTAACTTGCTAAAAGTCACACAGCTCTTGTCTAAAAGACCCAGGACCAAACCCCGTTTCCCTGAACACTGAAGTCTTGGTTTTCCTTATCGTGTGGCAGTGACTGAGGTTCTAGGAACTGAAGGTCCCTACCACGGCTGTTGCGGTCTCAGTGAACTTCTCTCACGGATCTGGGGGAAAGTCTGGGAGGAGAGAGGCCGGGTTGCATCCGTGAATTAATTTACCCTGAGTGTTTGGAAACTGCCTGATCAAGAGGGTTAAGAAAGAATAGGCCCCAGAGGGAAGCCAGAGATGAAAGAGCAGGAAGACGGCAGAGACAGCCAGAGACCAGAGGCTGCTTAGAGGAACCAGTCAGAAACAGAGACTGTGTGGCCTCAGGCAACTCATCCTCCCTCTCTGGACCTTATCTTTGAAACTCATCCTCCTTCCTTCTATAGAGATGACGCTTAGATTATCTCTCAGCTACTCTGGTCTAAAACTCTGTGATGCTCGGCTGGGGAAGTGGCTCCGTCCATGGCAGGTTGCTTGCCTGGCTTGTTGTGAAACCCTGGCTGGGTCTCATCCCCAGCCTCACCAAGACAAATAAAAATTTTAAAAAAATGAATAAAATGTCCTGATGCTCTCCTGGGCGAGTGGGCAGGGATGGACAGGCCTCGGGGCATGAACAACCAGGGAGTTCTAGTCTCGAGTTTCCCAAGCACTCCAGAGGCCACTTACCCCTTGGCCTCTTCTAGGCATGGACCCAATTCACCACCCTCCTTAAGCTTGGCCCTTTGTGACCTTGAAGGGTCCCATCAAGCTCTTCTTTCTTCTTCAAGTGGGAAGCTGGGGGCCTTAGCATGAAGCAATGAAATGGGCTGCCCGGGCCCCTTCCTCCCCACCGATCCCCCACCCCATCTCTTCTCTTTTTCAGGGGAAGGTCTGAACAGCTATCTCATCCCTGGCATCTGTGCGGGAGGCCTGCTCCTGTTCTTCGTGGCGCTGCTCATTTTCTGTGTCAGCAAGAGGAGAAAGCAGAACAGCAGGCGCAACGGTGAGCTCCCCCTCTTTGGTGCCACCCCAGGCCGCAGCAACATCCCCACGGAGTCCTCTCAAGGGGACGGCACCTTGGGTCCTCAAAGAAAAGGAGGGGATGGTTTCAGGACGTCAGGACGGGAACCAGAAGCTGGAGCTTGCTCCATTTTGTGGTTAGCTTGGGCCCAGGGCGAGGGAGTTTGGGGAGCTACATCCTGGCCGGTCTCATCGGAATCCCCGCTTGAGGCTGAGTGGTGTCTAAGGCTGGCGCACAGAGACGCCAAAGGGCCTCACAGCTCCAGGTGGGTAGAAAGATTCGTTCGAAAATACCTTGTCCATCTGCAGACCTGGAGTGGCCCCGGTCAAGACCAAGCTCCTGGGAACTAGGGAACTGGGGGTGCGGCTCATGCAGCGCTCTTGCCTTTGGGCTAGGCCCTGGGTTCCCTCCCCAATACTACCAACAAATAACCTCCCCCCCAAACAGGTCTCTGTACCCCCTTTTCTAACCGACTGTTCAGGAGGGATGCATTAGGGATGGGGGTGCTGTTTCCTTGGGTCAGTCCTGTCTCGCAACCCAGCAAACATGAACAGGTCATGCTCATGGGTGGAGATCCAGGCCACCTAAGGCAGATCACATCAGGGAGGCACAGACCAGGTGTCGCTGGAGGTGCAGGGTTGGGGTATCAGCCACAGTTGGGCAGGCAGCTGTGCAGGCAAGCCGCCGTGGTGTCCTGTGTCATCTCTGGTTCATAGCAGGACTGCGGCCCCTCACCAGGAGTCTCTTTCTAGAGCTCGCCAGGCCACGCCCACCAGCTGCTTCCCGCACAGCCCGGGGGACCTGGTGTGCAGCCACCCAGGATCCTCAGGCCCGGCACCCTTTGGCGTTGACGCCTTACTTCAGACTTCTTTCCACAGTTCTCCCTCAGCCACCCCTTCAGGTGGCCACTCCTGGCCCCAAGTCTCACTATACTTCCCTGTAGAGCTGGGCATGTCTTTCCAAATTTAGAACAGTCCCTTGGTGAGTCCCCCAGGTGCCATGGCTTCCTCAGCTCTGTGCCTTGCTCAGCCTGTCTCCCCTACAGAGGTCCTTTCTTATCACCCATGGTCAACGGCCATGCTCTCTTCCAAGGTAGACCTCCCAGGTCTCCCCACGACAGAGCAGCCCCTGATCTCACCAGGCTGAAGGGACCCACCTGAGAATTAGCTCATGTTGACAAAGAAACTGACCGCTAGGCTTTGCACTCACCCTCCCACCCAGCCTCCAGTGGCCTTGGGAGAGAAAACACCAGCCCAGGTGACAGCCTCACCCCCATCAGGGAGGCTACATCCTTTGCCTCAAGCTCTGTGACCAGGAAGCTGAGTCAGGATCAGGGGGAGGCCCTCACCCTCCTCTTGCATGCGCCGGAAGTGGGCACCTCCTTAAATCCCACACCCTCTGCGCTTCCTTTGTCTCACCTCATTCCCAAGCCTGGGTGAGTAACAAAGGAGATGCAGGTGAAGGAAAGGGCCGATGAGCCGGGAAGAACTCCTGGGAGCAGGTGTGGACGTTACTGGAGTGGACATGCTGGGGACCAGCGTGCTGCTCTGACCAGGCAGGTCGCGCAGAGCCACAGCTGATTTGTCCGTCGGAACCTGCCCAAGAGCTTAGCCACTAGGCCACGCCCCACTCCTCACCCTGCGACTGTGGCTCTTGGCACCTCTCTGGTGGCCCTGTGCAGTCCTGAGACTGGAATTGTGATTTTAGACTTCCTGAGGACAGTGTGTCTGAGTCATGATTGCCACTTAGTAATGGTGCCTAACACCTAGGAGGTCAGCAATCAGTGTAGGAGGAGCAAACGGATGAGAAGCAGGACAGACACTAATCACAAATGGCAGCCCAAGCTTGCCACCTGGGGTGAAGCAGGGCGGCTCACTGCTCCATACCCAGAACTGGGACTGAGGGTCAAAGTCCTCTCTGCATCCTCCCGAGCATAACTTCAGCTACCACTGGGCACCAAAGATGGCAGACAGGATGCATTCTGTCCTTTCTGGGCCCTTCTGTCTAGGCGCTTAGAGCACCCGGGCCACACAGATGTCAAAACCACATTATCTGACTTTGAGCCTTCATGTTCCAAGCCGCCTGATGTTTGTGTTTCCAGCAGCCGAAGGAGGCTGACTGGATTGGCATCATCTGCCTGCACTTACAGGTGATGCTCAGAGGGACTATGCTTCCCAAGCCACAGCACCATAAAGGTGCAAGAGGTCGCTAATTTACCCCAGTGGGGATCTACTCCCGCCTGCCTCTGCAGCCTGTGAGGATGGTCTTGTACGTGGGACTGGAATACCTAACTCCTAGCCTGGAGGCCAGAGGGGGCCAGCAGAGCCCCCTCTGTCTATGGCAGCTAGGCAGCCTCACAGATTTCCTTTGTGACTTGAAAGCAGTACAGGAAAAACTACTATATTCTGATTAGTCCTGGGCTGTCTTCATGGGCTAAAGTCACCCAAAGCAGAAAAAAGTCCCAAAAGGGTGAGGGAAGAAGAATCTTTCCCTCCTTGGCCCAAGAGGATGGGTCTTGTGCACAAATTTCCAAGGAACTAGTCAATTTCTGAGGACTAAAAAGCCCCTTGTGTGTGCTCCAACCTGTCACCAGAATGTAGGTTGCCTGACAACAGACCGAGTAGGAGCATATCCACACAGAGACCCGTCAGGAGGAATGTAGCTCCTCTGAGACGACTCAGATTCCCCGACAACAGACTCTGATCACAAGGTTTGCTCTCAGGACCCAGGGTCTAGGATGGTCCGGCACCGAGGCAGACCTGGGTTTGAGTGCTGTCTGCTCTCTGGTTCGAGCACCAAGCTCTCCCTGCTAGGTGCCTTCGCCCCTCTGTGTCCCTGAATTCTGCAAAGCCCTGGGGTCTCCCTCCAGCTTGTGGTCAGCATTTCTCCTGCCCCAACAAGACTGAGAGTTCTTGGAGCCTAGGGACAGCCCTGTCTCTGCTTCCTCTTGGCTTCCTCCAAAGCCTTGCCCCCCTCAGAGGTGCTCCATCGTTCCCCGGATCACCTCTTGCCAGAATAAGCTCTCGGATGATTTTGTCATTGCAGATGAGGAGCTGGAGGTAAAAGCTCACAGAACCACCTCTGAGGACAGAAGCCCAAAGCCCAGCCAGATCTCCACCTCACCCCCTCCAAATCCAGCCGTTGCCCAACCTCCGCCACCACCCAGTCATCGTGTCCAGACACCTGGTCCTCGTCCCTTGCCTCCCGGCCATCGTGTCCAGCACCAGCCACAGAAGAGGGCTCCCCCATCAGGCACACAGGTTCGCCAGCAGAGAGGCCCGCCCCTCCCCAGACCTCGGGTGCAACCAAAACCTCCCGGTGGAGCAGCAGAAAATTCACCGTCCCCTTCCTCCAATTAAAACTGTCCTTTCCAATGAAAAGGCTCTTTGGAGTTCTCAGCTCTGGGTGTGCAGGTCCACTTTTCCATCAGACGTTGGCAACATGTAAGACTTTGTCGCCTCCCGGGGCTTGCAGGCCATGGTCCTGCTGGCCCTTTGTCACTCAGCCATGTGGTTGAAGATCCATGGCCTCTTCACAGATCTGTGTCACCGAAAAGAAAGAAACAATGGGAGTGTGATTGTGAGGATGATTCATGACACTGCACAAGACTCTTGGCCATCTCATCTCCCTCTCACATCCCGTGCAGATCCCATATGCCCGGGGGATACTTAGGCTTGTGTCCCCTACAGGCCTCCCATCTGCTCAAAGGACTTTCAGCTTTCTTACATGTCCTGGTGGACGCTTGCTCCCCATCCTTGAGAAGGAGTGAAATAACAGCTTAGCTTTGACCCTGGGGTCTGCTCACTGAAGGACACAGCTGGGTGTTACTTGGAGGAAGCTGCAGGACGAGAAGGAGCCTCCTGTTGGTGTGGCATCACCCGAGCCACCTGAATCCCCACTAGAGTGGCCAGAACATTCTCCCCTGCCCCTCCCCAGGTCTCAGAAGCAAAGCTGGGTCCATCTACGTGGCGATCTGTGAGTCAACACCTCTAAGCACAAAGTTCAATGCGGGTCACCAGAAAGCTTAAGTGTTGGGGCCTCCCTTTCCTGAGCCATCCATCACTAGTGGTCTGGATGATCTGTGGGGTCGTCCTTGAAAAGAGGAATGCAGGGATATCCAAGGCACTGTGAGCTCATCAGACAAGACACACACGCATGGGCCGGCTGAGACAACTGCGATCCAACCAATCCTGAGTCTCACAAAGGACCAGTAAGAAGACACAGGCCGTCCCCAGCCGGCTGACTGCGAGCTGTACTTTGGAAGAAGTGGGGAGATAAAGAAGAGTTTTCGGTTGCAGTTCTAAAACAAGAGGCTGCGAGGACTCCTGCTTTGAAGCGTCAGTGCCAGGCTTGTGGTGCCGTCTGCCCACCTTCTCCCGGGCTCCTCGAACCTGTTAAACCTTGTTAACTCTGGCAGGAAGCTCTGGGGGCAGACCACAAAGACGAAGTATGTTCAGGACTTCCTGTGAGAGCTCACTGAGAGTTGAAAGGCTTTTTTTCCCTCCGAATCTGGGCATCTATTGTTTCAGAACCCAGAGTTAATTATAAAGGACAGTGATGAATTGAACGCCAGAGGCTCCCGAGACTCACACACACAATCCAGTTGGATAACACTCATTACAGTGTCTGTGGGAAGAGGATGCGGGTCCTGGCGCTGCCTCTGTCTCAGTCTTCTTCTGTTTTGGGTGCCAGGGATCGAACCCATGACCCAGGAGCACTTTGCCACTAAGCTATATCCCTTGCCCTTTTTTTATTTATTGACTTTTTAAATTTTGAGACAGGGTCTCACGGAGGCTAAGGGTCTCACTAAGTGGCTGAGGCTGGCCTCGGACTTGCGATCCTCCTGCTTCAGCCTCCCCAGTAGCTGGGATTACAGGGGTACACTTCCGTACCTGGCCTGTCTCAATCCTCATTGCAGTCCTGAGTGACTTATTCCACTGGCCGTCCTGGTAGAAGAGCTCCTATCCTTCCCTTTACAAAGCCTTCCCTGGCCTCCAGCCTTATACCCTGCCTTTTTTCTATAGCTACCTGGGGTAACATGCAGTAACAGAACATATACAGCCTGTAACTCTTCAGTCCTTCACCATTCATTCATTCAACAGCTGCTGAGCTTCTACTATGCATCAGGCCCTGTGCTAGGCTGCTTGAGGGACACAGAGGTACACACTTACATCTCTGCCTTCAGGGACGTCACATGGAGTTGGGGGCAAGTGTAACCCAGTGTGATAGATAAAGGTCAGAGACAAGCACAGGAGCCCAGAGAAAGCCTTTTAGTCTAGACTTTTAGTAGGACTTGGTGACACACAGGGCTTCCTAGAGGGGGTGACGTTTGAGTTGAGTTGTGCTAGATTACTGGAGCTGGTGAAGCCCAGGGCAAGATTGTCCATGCAGAGGGAACAGCACAGGCAAGGCTTATGTTGGCTACCTGTTCGCACAAGTATGTTGTTCCTCCCTCAGCTACTGTGCTTCATCCATTTGAAGGCATCATGGCTTTTAAGTGGCATATACATCACGCAAAGGAAAAACACTCTCGGTCCCACTATAGCAAGTGCTAAGGTACCATAAAAGTTGTAGGCACAACTCTGTTACTGAGATGTGAAAACATGAAAAGAGCACATTTTAGAATGAATGAAATACACAGTTCCTAAGCTTTTTGAGAACAGTGACCATTGCCCAACTTGGCCCACAGCGCCATATTGAAAGTATCCCGAGCCACCTGGCCAGTGGGTGAGTACAGTCCTGACGAGAGGAAGGGAAGGGAATGTACGGTGTCTACAGCACACACACTCCTGCCCTGCTGGAGTCTCCACTGAGAGACAGGAAACAGGCCTGGCCTGAGCTTTGTGCTGCCGCCATTCACCTGTTGGACATTGTACAACTGCTACTGTCCCTGACCCAGAGCGTGAGCCTTCTGACAATTGGTTAGCCCAGCTGCATAAGAACAGCTTGTGACACTTGAGAAAAAATAAAAAATAAAAATAACAACAGATGATTCAAGTAGGTTAGGTAGGAGACCAAGCACCTGGGGGTTTTTGATTGTTTGTTTGTTTGTTTTTTGTGGCTCTGAGAACCCAACCCGAGCCTTGCCCCGCGGTAGCAAGTGCTCCACCACAGAGCCACACCCCGGGCCAACGTCTGTATTTCTTTTAAACATAATCTCAACAGGCATTCAAGTTGGAGAACCGCAGGTCTACCGGCCCTCAAATTATTAATTATCAATGATTGTTCAAAACAATGATTTTATAGAGAATGCATTATTATGAGGAAAAGAAAAACAGTTATAGCACATTTAACTAATTCTTAGAAACTCTCTAATACAAGGAAGCCGGCCATGTTGGGAAAAAGCATTCACATAATTTATAGGAATGGGACATCCTAGGGGGTCACGTGAAGATAGAACACGTGGTGTGGGGGACAGCCTCCCTACCATCCCCCCAAATCGCAGTCTCCTCCTCGCTGTTGGGCCAGCTTAGCTTCAAGGGGGTCCCAGCTGTCAGCTGGTGGCTTCATGTCAGTCCTCCTGTCCGTCTTCTGTCACTCATTCTCCAGTGTTGGTCCGGCTCAGGACTCACCTGCTCACTGGACTTCTGTCACTCTAAGTGCACCAGTGTTGCCACCTCAGGGCCATTACGCATGCTGTTCCCACTGCCTGTTCTTTTCACCTGTCCCCTTCACCAGTCCTCTCTCTTCTCTCAAGACAGTCACAGGTCCTCTTCAGAAAGACCTTTGTTGACTCCTAAATTCCACCACAGCAGGATTCTTGAGAGACCTTCTCATTCTGTGTCTGGTTCTGTAGCCCTCAAGTTCTGACCCACAGACCCTGGAGCCACAGAGTTCCGAGTCTCTCGCGGACATTGTCATCTCTGAAAAGTGAATTCAGCCTCCCTCCGTGAATACATGGTTTCCTGGTGGAAGGAACCAGGAGAACACCTCACACAAAGTTATTCTGAATGGAAACCAACGTCTGTAAGTGTCACTAGTATAGCCCTGTGTACAGAATATATCTGAAAACTCGATTGTTATTTCAAGAAGGAATGTCCTACAGACATAAATGTTTCAGTCATTGGGAAAACAGGTAGCCTGTTATAAATTAATAAATACTCCCTAAAGTGGCTTAGTCTTCTCTGAGTTTGATTCATCTGAATCCGTTTCCTAACATTGGTCACCTGGGACATGGGGAAAGTCCTACACCTGAATTAAAAGCTAGAGAACGCATCTGGAGACCACCTCACAGAGCTGAGACTGAGCCACCAGCCTGCTGTTACTGCCCTGTGCCTTAAACAGGATGGTCCTGATATCGTATCTGGACTTCGCCCTACAGTTTATTCCTGGCAACCCAGAGCTAGGGGCAAGGGCAGATTCTCAATAGCAGAACTAGATCCATCCGCTGGTCAGAGATGGCCTAAGAGAAGTACTCACAGCTAGGGTTTAGGGGTGGACCATTCAACCTTCAGAGACTCAAGCACGTAGTCAACCAGCCCCAGAGGGCCAAAATCAACGGGCACAGCAGGGTCCCACCACCGTGACGGGGTACCTAGGTTGTACAGAGCTGCCATCAGGGCAGGGGAAGGGGTAACAGTGGACAGGGAAATTTCAGTTACAGATAGCAACTTCACTAATGCCTCGGGCTTTACTCTTCACTGAAACCCTTAAAAATTACTTTAAACTTAATAAAAATAAGACATAAACCACGAGGACCGAGGTCAGGGGAAGAAACCATAGCAGGATCTCAGGAGTCGAATCGATCCCAAGGCAGCAATGAGGAAAGTCAAGGTGCAAAACGGCGCTGGAAGGACAGGCGAAAGTTCTGTCTCAGAGGTAATTAGACCCCAGGTTCTCTTCCCGGTACCATGAAGATCATCACTGTCCGGCAGGAACCTGGGGTTTATGCTCTGGGGATGGTGGATGGACAGTCTCTGAATGGTGGATGCCATGCAGGGTGGACAGCAGGGGAGATTCAGTAAAATTTTCCATTAAATATTGGGACTGAGCTTCTCCCCTCCCTAGCTGGCAAATATCAGGCAGAATGTTCATGCTATGTTTCAGGCAGGATATTAGAAAATACTTGCTCTAAAAAATCTTATCAGCTCAGTAGAGGAGACTTAATAACACTGACATCGAGGATTTCCCAATAAAACCACCCAGCTATGTGGCCCTGGAGTGAATCCTGCAATCGCTGGGCTCCTCTGACTCATGGGGAGATTTCAGTCATTTTCGATCCCTTCTTAAATAGGAGCAGATAGTCAAGGATCTCCATGGAAATGGGGTAAGCCTCCAACATGAAAGATAGGGATTCAACCAACAAGCAGAAACATTGGAAGCAAGAGAGAAAAGTTCAAACAGCAAATTACCCTTCGTATGCTCCAAAGCATGTGAAAACATCATATCCACAAAAAACAAACAAACAAACAAACAAACAAAAAAAAAAACAG